CCTGTAGTTTTGCTTTTTGGTTTGGTCTTTCTCTGGTTTTGGTATCAGAGTAATAATAGTTGCCTCCCGGAATGAGTTTGAGAGAATTGCTTCCTTTTCATTTTCATTGAAGAGTTTGAGAAAAGTTGGCGTTAAATCTTATCTAAATTTCTTGTGGAATTCAGCTGTGCATCCCTCAGGACCTGGGCTTTTCTTTCTTAGCAGGTGTCTTCATTTTATTTTATTACAATTTCACTCCCTGATATTGGGTTATGCAGAATTTTTATATCTTCTTGATTTAGCTTTGGTTATTTGTATGTATCTAGAAATCTGTCCATTTCTTCTGTGTTTTCCACCCTGTGAGAGTAAAGTAAAGGTATTGATGATTTTCTGAATTTCTGTAGGGTCTAGTTATTTTGCCCTGTTCACATTTTACTGCATGAATTAGAACTTTTTCTTTTCTCTTTTTTTGATATGCTTGGCTAAGGGTTTATCAAATTTATTTATTCTTTCAAAGAACCAACTCTTGTATTCATTAATTCTTTGTATTTTTTTATTCATCTCCATTGCATTAATTTCTACTCTGATCATTATAATTTCCTGCCTTCTTAGGGTTTTGGGCTTTACTTGCTCTTTTTCTAGAAGCTTGAGGTATGGCATAAGATTCTTTATTTGGACTTGTTCTGTTTTCCTGCTGTGAGAATTGACCACTATAAATTTCTCTCTTAAGATAGCTTTCACTGCAACTCACAGGTTCTGGTAAATTGTATCTGCATTTTCATTTGATGGTAGATCTTGTTTAATTTGTTCTTTAATTTCATCTGTGACCCATTAATTGGTCAGGATGATATTTAATTTCCATGTGTTTATGGAAGCTTTACTGTTTCTTTCGTCAATAATTTCCAGTTTCATTGCACTATGGTCAGATAATATGCATGGGATAATTTCAATTTGTTTGCATTCACTTAAACATGCTCTATGTGCTAATATATGGTCTATTTTAGATGGGGGCCCGCCCCTTAGCTCAGTTCTTTAAGTGGCTGCTTCAAGAAAGCAGTCAGGCTCAGGTTGCTGTG